TAAGCAATCGTTACTACGATACTTTAAAGTAAGTTAACAACATAGCACATCGCTACACAATTTGATAAAGCGCATGTTTTGTTTTTGCACGGAACCTTTGATATTTTTAAAATTGTTCTCGATACAACGCATCTAAGGTTACATATGTCTGTGACCTCTAGATAAACGATCGAAACATCGTGACCTTCAGGCTAGTGCAACCATAAATCGGCGTTACTTTATTTCAGGTGAGAGAAGTGACTCTGCCACTTTACTTCCGAAGCGCGAGCTACACTATCTGCATTTGCATAGACCATCAGCATTAAACCTTAGAGCGCTCATATGAACTAGATATTCTGCAATTACATATGTGTCTTATGTATCGCTGCACTGGTGTGTGCCCACCTTCTTCAGACTGGACAAGGCGAAAACCATCAATAATTTGGTGTCTTTGATACAACAACTTTCGACACAAGAATTAATATTCAAGCTTGCAGGATGTCCCACAGGTGACGGTAACCGATTTCATAGAAGCTCTGAGGGCGTTTCAACTATTTGGTGGTTAAAAAATAGCATATCTTACTTCTGTAAATTCTGAGTAGTCATATCGTTTTTAGCATCAAGTAATTAATAAGTGCAGCGTAAAACACAAACGCTAGACGACAAAGCGTGAAGGGTACACATCCATATGGTGTGTCCGTGCACACTATGTAATCTATGGTGGCAATATGTTGTTGGATTTACGTAAATTTGATGTCGAAGCGGATGATGTTAGTGATAGTGTTTTACTTGTCTAGGGCGAAGGTACGTTTGGAATATCTAAATGTAATAGTTATTACATAGCCATCATAATTGTATGTTTTAATGTAGAAGGCTTTGCTAAGTAATGCCTCAAAATTTTCTGCGTTTTAATTCCTCGAGGTATCGGAAAATAAGCTTAAAATTCAAGTATGTCATTGACGGCACTAGAATTGCTTAATAGCTTTCACAGCAGAAATGGTTTTCTATTAAGATTGATACCACTCTAGGCGTTACGCGCTTTTGAACAGCAATCAAATCATTCTCTTGATTTCAAGATCTTGAATGTAGCGTTGCCTGAGAGTGAAAATGATGGAGGCTTTTCCGACTCAGCTTGTGGCATTCACGGCATTATGTCTTACGATGCTATAGCTATAAAGGAACAAGGAAAGGAAAACAAAAACCAACTATCGAGCAAGTATTACAATCTTGATCAAAATAGTGTGCCTCGAGATCTTTTTAACAGATTTTTTAGATTAACGGAAGTAATGCTAAGATACCGCCCGTAGCTCAAGCTTTTCTACGCTAATCATAAAGGTACGAAATGTTGTTGAGCATTATCTTGAGCTTCTCCATCGCATTGCACTCGAGAAAAACAACCATGTCAATTCCTTCTTCTCCGTTTCGGGCTTCAGTGAGTATGACCAAACCATCGAAGTCTGGCATTTGAGGAACACATGCGTACACAGGGTGAACATCCTCAAATTCGGCGTCATACATACCCAAATGTAACCAAGAAGTAAAAAAGAGATCGGGACCAAACACAAAATTTGTTCCTATCTTCATATCAATGACACTTTTCTGCTCAGTCAAAAAGTTGATCGTGTCTTGCATGTACTTTTCGTTACATTGAACAATTGAGCTCCGAACACGTCGAGCGAGCCTTGAAAGAATTGCAGGAGAGACGAGTTCAATGTCCTCTGGCTGCGGTTGCAACTCACTATTTTGGTACATCGACAATGCATTGAAAATGGCATTTCCAACATAGTTCTGGGGTAGCGGAGGGTGTAGATGGCGCCGGGCATTTACACAGGTCGTAATTTTTACATCATGGCCATGACCACGAGCTCTTGAGATCAAAATGGTCATCAGAGCCGTAATTGCGTCGACTGTGCTGACATACGATACCTCTGAAGGATTGCTACCTTTTCCTTCAACATTACTTGCCACCTCCTTGATTCTCTTCATCATTTTCGAATTAAAATGGAAAAAGTGTTGGGCTGATGGGGGTGGTGCCTGAGTGAGAAGTTGAGCTTCGTCTCTAGCTTTCTCTGTTGCCTTCGCCTGAAACTCTAAATGTTGCATCTCAGATGGCTTCCCCGTCCCATTTAGCAAGTATCGATCATGATTTACAACAAGTCTCTCATCTGGCTTGACGCCGCTGTAATATTGACCCCAGCCTTTCATAAATGTAGAAAAAGCTTCTGCATCGAACAGAACATGAGTAGCATCGATACCAATAGTCATGCCTCCATCCGTGAGCAGCGATGCCTTAACACAAAACAGCTCTTCCTTGTCGCGAGTAGTGGGCATTAAATCCAATGAAAGTTTCCGAGTTGCCAACTCTGTCGTCAACGGATTTTGCGGATCCATTTCAAATCGGATTCCAGTGGCCCCCACTCGTACAGACTCTGCTGTCTGCTTAACACAAGCAATTCCCGTTGTGGGGTCAACGTGAAACTTTCCAATCAAAAATGTATAGTCGTGATCAACGAGAGAAATGAATGACGAATGCAGCCTTTTAAGATCGAAGTGGGTCGAAGTGGGAGGGGGGAAGATGTACAGAATCATGATGCCGATGCTCTCCATTACTGTGTCCAAAGGAGACAGCATTATCACTCTATCAGTCGAAGTTGAGGTCATTGCTGCTTTGGAAGCAAAATCAATAATGAATCCTATCACGAAGGGGCCGAAAGTGTATTTCTTGAAGAAGCAACGAGCTCCTTAGAAATTAAATTGGAGCATTCAAAACTGGATAAACGACAAAAACTCTAAAACGTGTGGTTAGTTAGTGCGCTTTCAGATTTGGATAACACGCTCTAGACCTTATCTTTTCTTCGCAATCATTTGAGTAGTCCATATCTAATGTATGCTAATCAGTCCGTAATCAATCGCGTAAACCGTAAACCTCTCATTCGATAATACGGTAAATTATGAGATCAAGATATGGACGGTTGCATTATACTGTACCAGAGATTTTCGCGGTATCTTAGTAGATTTCATTTGTACAGACGCTTACTAATTTCCCGCTGCCCTATAACCATTCGTGGTGATCTAGTCAATCAGCAATAGACCCATGTCGAACATCAGCATGTACTATTCTTTCGACATGCGTGATACTCGTAGTATTTGTCATTCCCCGTTTCGTGTAGGAAGGACTGATGACCTGGGTCGTGGGAATAGTAGGTGCTGGCATCAATAAATGTTCAGGATTCAATTCAGGCAGAACGCCCAACGGTTGCGCATCTTTACAGGTGACCTCAGTGCACTTCTTTGTGGCTGTGCATCTGTTTAGTTAGTGTCCATCACTCTACAAATGTCATCTTAGTCTTAGCCTTAGCCTTCTCGTTGAACAAATTTTACCAACTATACCATGACGTCCGTTCCGCGAGACGAAACCCACAGCTCGCTGGTCTTAAATGGCGGACTAAAGGAATCCCCTCTGCAAGTCACGTACATCAAGCTGACTATAAAGATAATGCTTTGTGCACTACTTACGCAACTGAGCCCGCGTAACTCATGCATCTTTCTGTTGGCCGTCCTCGAGTTGATTTCATCGTCAGCCTTCACAAGGATGAGTAAAACCACACAAATTCACGATATTGGAAGCATCTTTACTTTGGCCAATAGCGATTTGTCCGTCGTTGAACAATCTAAGGATTTGTCAGTAAATTTCCCATTTCGCTAATTGATCAAACTTTTATCATGTGGTAACGTGATATATCCGACAATCTGACTCACGGCGATTTGAAATACATCAACAATCCACATATTTTCTGTAAGGTTTGAGAATTTAATGCCGACAAGTATGCTTGAACAGGCCGCTTCCCTCCTCTTTACATATCATAAATAGTCCATTAAATTATGTAATTTTCTAAAGCGGGCTCGAAAAAAATGTCGAGCTTATAAACTTGACTGTTTCCCTTTCACTTAAAGTAAATGTCTGTCGTGATTCACGTCGGTTTGATCTTCGTGCCTAACGTCATGGCATACTTCAAAGCGCATCTTGTATTATCCCGATAATTGAACCCATGTTCATACTCGAATTGACGTTTTTCTTTGTCTGGGCAATTTAAATCTTTGAATCACTATTTCCACAAGAAAAACGAGGGACGAGCGCAGTCTAGTATAACCTCATCTAAGTGGGTCAATATGTGCAAGAGACTGACTATTGTTCGGTGTATTTAACGTTCATCATGCAGACCTAGTACTTATTTGCTTAGGTATTTATGTGACGAATAAACTACAGCATTCTTAATGTTATATGATTGTTTCCGAGATTAACAAATTGTTCATTCAAGAAAAAAACTAATATTGAAGAAAGCAATACACTATCAGCTACCAAAGTTCTGTGACAAAATTTTCTTGTTTCTTGTTTCCGAAAATCATTATTGTATTTCTGCTATTTTCTGCAAAAAATTGGCGTTAATATTTATAAAGCGCAATACCGAACGTGCCACGATTTTAATAATATACTTTGGCAGTAAAAATAATTGCGACTGTGAGTGAGATCCAAGTTAAGACCTTTCCATGGTGCGATAAGGTAGAGCTACACCCGCTTTTGATATTCGAGGACTCCATCGAGTTGTCTGGCAAACTACTTCTGGCGCTCGATTCCGATGTATTTTCGCTCACTTGTAAGGCACCTGAGCGTGAAATTTGATCAAAATTTTCAGAAAACAACGCAATACTGATAGAACCAGGACTCTTTTTGCAGTTGTTGAGCTGCTCCAGCACATTTTGCTTCTTGTTAAGGCCTTCAAATTCATAATTACAATCTGGCAGCGTGTCTACCAGACTTCTAATAGTTTCTGTGCAACTAGACTCGCATTGCGCAATGATCTCGATATTGCCACCGTTGATATCAGATTCTGCTGCACACTCTTCACTTGTAGCTGTAGTGACGTACATATACCACATATTTTTGATCTCTGAAGTGGAACAGCTCATCGACTGAAGTGTCAATGCTGACGTTTCCGTTAGTGATGAAGTTGTTGATTCATTTGCAAGACTAGAAGATCTCAAATTGGGGTGTCGCGATGAATCCGTGGCAGCAATTAACAATTTGCTATAGTCGCACGCTCTGAGAGCATTTAAGACCGCAACTTTCTTGTTAGAGCCATTGAAAGTGCAGTTTGGAAGATCTTGAGCTGCAATTTCAACAATGCTAACACAACCGGAAGCAGTACATGGTGCGTTCACAGAGACGGGGTCATACTGTATCACGTACGGCGAGCAAGCCGTTGAAGCAGCAGCTCTGTCCCAAACTAAAGCTGCCCTCGCGGACTCGGCATCGGTACATTCGGCTGCGTCTCCGCTATAAAATAATAATGATAAAGTGACCAGTAACTCAGCTAACATTGTTAGTAGCGGCAGGGAGTTGAATTTTTTTGAGGCGTATTTGAAAATGGATTTGACGATGTGTGTGAGTGAGAAGTATTTGTCCATTCAGCCTTAAGATAGCTTGCCAACGGCATTTCTTAAAACACTCACTATCTACCCAAGTCGTGTGGACAGCTCAGTGATATTCGTCTAAGTCACCCATATAATTCAAAACGACCAAATGCTTCCCAAATTTACGGGTTGGAGTCACCCTACAATATGGCTAATGTACAATCAAATTATTCAGTAAAAAAAATGCAAAGAATTGTATTATTGTATTATTGACAGCTAACGAGGATTCATGTAATTCGGATAGTTCCTTGCTTGAGAATTTTATTGTTCGAAGTAGAGTAGGATAGTCAAAGCTCACACTGAAACTGCGATTAAGTAGAGAGCGACTGAGAGCTGTGTAACCATGATGCCTGTTGCAACAAAAACATTGGAGGTGCCAGACGAAACGGGGCCACTGCTAATATCGCTTCCGCTTGCTGAAGTCGAGAACGAGCGATCGAGCACTTCGTTCACGTCGGAACAGTACGCGAGGACGTTTATTAATCCGGTCATGCGATCGATTTCATCGTCACTGGTACAATCCGGCAGCTGCCGCACGGCGTCACTGAGCACTGAAAGGCAGTCGCTTTTCATACAGTAGTCAAGTGATGTGGCACCCGAATCGGCAACCAGACTTCCACACGCGCTACTGCTGGACAGTTCGGAGTACACGTTGTCCACTATTGACTGCTCATCACTTGTACAATTGGCGGCATGGGTGAAAGCTGGAAGCGCTGTAAGGGCGATTAAGGTCACGATGAAGAAGTTATTAAGAGAGGCCATGGCGAGGGAGGGAGGCAGAAATGAAAACTGACCGTGGAACCTGGAGTTGTCGAGCCAGTCTTTGAGGTGTCGTGGAAGGTTCTTTGGATCCATATAAGTGTGCGGTACTACTCTGAAATGTGTCAAATATTTCGCTTGTTGCGATTTTGTTCAGTCCAAGTGCAGAGTGTGGGCGCCGTCGTGGGGTCGGTATAGTTTACGTACAGTTTCTCCCTCATTTTCGATGCTGGCTTCAAGCTTTGCAACGCGCGAGCACCACACGTGGCGCACAGAGCAATGGTACAAAACATGGGAAAGATTACCATGTATGAAGGAAGTTACAAGCTTCAAACTTCCTAAGCTTCGTAAAACGTACTTAACCTTTCCGGCTTTGATAAAGAAGGTAATTAACATGCTTCCTGTTACGAAAGCAAAGCAAAAATTGGGATCTCTACCCCAGAGTTCAGCACGTACGAAAACAGAAACTACCATTTTGTTTGTGAAACAAGCGTGCAACAAGAAACGCTCACAGCGTTTGATGAGGAAAGTTGATATAGAGACCATAATTGTCTTTTCGAGTGAACACAGAACACAAGCTGCAATGTACATGAAGCCAGCCTGTCTGTGTATCTTATGCAAAATTAAAGTGACTTGCCCTTAGCGATAATGTACTACCTAATAGTAGTACCATAAAGTGCTACTATAGTGTATAGTACTTCTATATACAGCTACTATATAGTGGCACATCATCGCCAAGGCTTTCATTTTGCACAGACAGTATATCATTGCAAAGAGTTCAGTGCAGGTCCTGAAGGTAACGCACGGGCTTTCTTCTCAGCACCACCGCCCATTACGTCTTCTGTGCCAATCGTCTTCACTCGGCACAAGAGGTAGAAGAGACCATGGTGCACGAGCTTATTCATGCATACGATGTACGTATCTAGTGGACTAGTCACAGTAGTGGAGTCATATGATTCTCTTTGTAGTTTACGGTGCGCAAGATCGATTTCCCGAAAACACTTCACATCGCATCGGGCAGCAAAGTTGCCAGCACTTTTGCCTTGTGATAGCACTCGGACCCACGCGTGATCGAATCTCACTAAAATCAGCGTTCAAATAATTAATTCCAATATGGTTTTCACAGACAGTACATCATCGCTGTCTCTGAGGGGGTATAGGGGTACGCTCATTGCTCTTATATGGGATGGTTGAGCGGATATTGAGCGGAAGACGAGCGGACAACACGAACATTCTCGATGCTCTTAAACATGTTGCGGCATTTAAAAAACATCGTGGGACAAGACGACAAAGAAACATGTGCGTCGCTTTATTTGGAGACAGGGGATCATACTTCTGCTTCATCTGCGCGAAACATGGCGGTCAAGAGGATAAATGGCATCATCAAGGAGC